GTTAAATAAAATTTGTATAATAATATTGTATAATTAATATTTTAATATTTTATAATATTTTGTGTAATATTTGTTAATAATTTGTTTTTAATAATTCTTTCTCCTCCCTATTTCTTTGGTCTCAAAATATAATATATATTATACCTATTTTGATGATTGTTATTTAAATTTACTTATTCAAGATTTTTTATTGATATATATTTTGGAAAACCTCAAAAATTGTTTTAAAACATATATTGATTTTTAATAGAATTATATGAGATATATGTAAATACTAATTTCTTCTCTTTCTCAATTCTTATGTCTCAAAATCAATATACATATATTATACCTATTTTGAAAAATGTTATTTAAATTGACTCATTTACAATTTTAGTGCTATATATTTAGAAACACTTAATTCGTTTTCAAAAAATATGTTGATTTTTAATATGAATTATATGAAATGTATGCAAATACTAATTTTTTTCTTTCTTCGCTCCTTAGGTCCCAAAATCTATATATAATATACCTATTTTGAGGAATGTTAGTTAAATTGACTCATTTAAGATTTTTTATTATTATATATTTAAGAAAACCTTAATAATTTGTTTTAAAAATATATGTTGATTTTTAATATGAATAATGAAATGTACACTAATTCCAATTCCTTCTCCTTCTTAATTATTAGGTCCCAAAATATAACATACACTATACCTATTTTGAGGAATGTGAGTAAAGTTGACTCATTTTTAGAGTTAATCGTATTACGCACACCTAACCTATTTCTTATGGATAGAAATCAAACCTAACATTACAAAATCTGCTAAAAATGTATTTTAAAGATAGAATATATATAAATGTAAACATTATTTCGAATAAAGTTTCATTAAAAATTCTGTAAAATGTAATTTTTATTTTATTTAAATTTCAATTTTGACGTTTCAATAAATTAAATTCGGTTTTAGGCTAAATGTGGACCCAACATCCGGCAATTTAATGTTAAACAAAATAAATCAAATAGAATTAATTAAATTTGAAATCGTAAAAATGATCGAGTAATAGAATTATAGAAAAAAAAATTTCGATTATGTAACTCATAACCCAAAAAGAGAAAGAAAGAAAGAGAGAGTAAACTATACTTCAAAATAAATAAATCGAAAAAATAATGTGAGTCGAATTAGTAACTGTATAAATGATATAGTAATAGCATTATAAATGAATAATCGATCATATGAGTCAAAATTCAAAGAGAAAAAAAGAGAGAGAGAAAGGGAGAGAGAGTTAACTATACTTTTGAATAAATAAATCGGAAAAAACAATGTGAGTCAAATTTGCAACTGTATAATAAATGGTATAGTAATAGCATTATAAAAAAAGGTCGATCATGTGTGTCACAATTCAAAGAGAAAGGAGAGACAAGAAAAGAAAGAAAGAAAGAAAGAGAGAGAGGGAGTTATCTATATTTTAAAATAAATAAATGAGGAAAATAATGTGAGTCAAATTTCTAATTGTATAAATAATAAATAAAAATATATAAATAAAACATAATGATAATAAAAAATAATAAAATAATAAAAAATAAATAATAATGTGAGTCACAATTCAAAGAGAAAGAGAGAGAGAGTTAACTATACTTTAGAATAAATAAATCGAAAGAAAAAAAAAGAAAAAAAAATTAAGTAAAAACTTGTAATCTTTGAGATGATTGATCAAGTAATAGAATTTAAAAAAAAAGTTCGATTATGTGATTCACACACAACCTAAAGAAAGAGACAGAGAGAGAGAGAGAGAGAGAGAGAGAGAAAAAGAGAGAGAGAAAGAGTTAACTGCACTTTAAAATAAATAAATCGAAAAAAAGAAACAGAAAAGAAAATTAAGTAAAAATTTGTAAATCGTAGTAAGATGATATTATAATAATGCATTAATGAAAGAAGGTCGAATATAGGAGAGTGAGAAAGAAAGAAAGAAAGAAAGAAAGAAAGAGAGAGAAAGACGTTCGTTTATTGGATTGAAATGGGCACCACACCTTTAGACTCGACTTTAATCTTCTCCTCCTTGATTCGCGAATCGTAAACTCTTACGACACTTAAATTAGCTTCCAGTCGATACATATCCTTGCTAAAGTCCGCTACTCCGTTGCCCATGTCGTTCTCGATATTATCATTCTCTTCTATCTTTTTTATTCTTTTTCCTTATACTTTCGAGAAAAGGTCACCACTATCGTTTCTCTTTTCTTCATTTTTTATTCTTTTTAATTTAATATCGTATTTTTGCATGTTTATAAACATCGTATATCGATCATTTTTTTTTTTTTCAATTAATTGATCGAATATATATGCATAATGAATCCATCAAAAAAATCGTATATACCACGTGACTCATATAACCTAACCTATATTTGAGTATAATTTACTTCTTCTATTTTGTTTCTTTTTTATTTATGACATTTAAATGTATATGAAAATGTCAATGTGGATAATCTTTTGACTTTATTGTATATATATATGTTTATCAATTTATTTCTGTTCGAATGTTTAAATCGATCGTATTTTTATCGATAACGCCATTTTTTTTCCCTCTGACCGTGTCAAGGAGGAAAATAAATAAAATCGATGTAGAATAACAGCTTAAGTATTAAGAGAAAAATGATTTTAACACATTATTACTTTCGATAATGTTAATAGATATCTTTTTTTTTTTTTAATTTTTTATGATTTATATTATTATCATTATAATTACATCGTTTTGCTTTCGATACATTTTATTCTTATAACGTATTGTTTCATTTAATTATGTTTTACATTACAATATAAAATATAAAATTTAAATAAATTGTATTAATAATTATTATCAAAATATTTTTGAATTTAATTGTAAACATTTTCAAAAATTTGAAATAATTATACTGAACAATTTAAATATGAAACGTTCCAGAATAATATATATTTTTACCAGGTAGTATATTAATCAACGAGAGATGAATAGTTAAAATTATGAGATTAATATTTGAAACGTAAATTAAATCCGGTAGAACAGCATGACTAACAGTATAATAGTTTTTAAAGTACAGGAAGAGATAAGAACGAGGATAACTTTGAACATTATTGTTACTGAAAGTAAAGTAGACTTTTTCAAAAAAAAAAAAAAGTAAATCAAAAGTTATGTATTTAAATCACTGGATTTTTTCGTAAATTCATATATTATCTAGTTAATTCATAAAATATCTAATTGAAATGTATAACAAAAAATATAATTTTCCCAAAAACGTTTAGTTATTTTATAAATTAACTGAATTGGACACTTTAACGGTAACACGCATATCAAATATGTCGGTGAAAGGCTGAATATTTAGGTTTATTTTTATACAGTAATAGTTCGGTAATAATATATATCAATCATTTGAATATTGACATTCTACGATTTAACGTATATATATTAAGCGTAGCAATTAATACGGTGCATTTAAAAAAAATATATATATTTAGTATATGTTCGAAAAGTTTTCATACATGTATTATTTTTTGAAATATTTTAGGTTAGGTTTTCAAATAATTGCGTTGTTGAAAAAAAAGATATAGTTAATGATTTTTACATGCAACAAATTAAGCGTAGCAATTAATTCCAAAAGTTATCATACATGTATTATTTTTCGAAATTTTTTAGGTTATTACCTTGTTCGAAAAAAAAAAATTAGTTAACGATTTCTATGCAACTAATTAAATATAACAAGACGCCATTATTCATGGCTATCCTTAATATATATAAAGATAATAACGTTATTTTTTTATCCTATTGCCGTGTCAAGAAGAAAGAAAAAAAAAAAAGAAACAAATCGATACAAAGTAACAGCTTTAGATAGAACAAGATTTAAATTTACAGTAAACTCGTAGTGTATAATGCGATTAATTTGCTACACATTGTACGAATTCCTAGGGAGAATATACAAATTCGTCGTTTATTTTTTTATCTTATTATCTTACAAATATATTTATAAATATTTAAAAAAATTCTTCTTTTCTTTTTGGTAAATTATTTTCAATAAGTGTTCAAAATTCAAGAAAAAAAAAAAAAAGAGAAAATATAAAAACAAAACAAAATCATTACAGTTAAATAAGTCACTAATTATAGTACGATTAAAATCTTGATCAAAGTAAATTTGATTTTTAATTATATGGCGGGGATTAAAGAGGAGGAAAGGGGGGGATTGATGGGTAATTCATAAATTTTTTTTTACTAGTTATTCTCTTTATATAAAAAATATGAGTCGTAATATATTTTATAAACGCGTTACAGTAACTCCGTGTTATACCTGAGTCTTCTGTATATTTATAAATCAGTGATTTAATTTATCGATAGTCGTTTGAAGATACAACGAGAGAAAATTCAAATAAAAAAGTCAGATAATTATTATCGATCATCGTAACTCACATAGGTCGAAGTTTATACCAACAAATAAGATAAGATAAAAAAAAAACCGAAAGGGGAAGTGATAAATCATCGATGTTATTCAAATGTTCTCGATGTTGTAGCAAGGAAACGAAAATAATATTTTGAAAAAAAAAATTCTCATATATAAGATTACTTCTAGAATATCGATGTTTGAGATATTAAAATAAAAAAAAAAAAAATAAAAAAAAATAAAAAAAAATAAAAAACGAAAGGTAAGAATCTTACGACGTTTGGGTTTATTTTCGTCGAGATGAATCATCCTAAGGATTGTTTTCTTGTAAAAAATAAAAAAAAAAAAGAATAAAAAATAGGCAGAACGAATTAAAAAGGGAAAAAGAAGTTGTATAAAAATGGTGGATATGAGTAAGAATAAGAAAATAAAAAACAAAACAAATAAACCCCACCCTCCCTTGTGTGACATTTGATTGGTAAGAATATTTCAAACGAATATTATTTATTACATCGTTGTATTTTAGTGTATAAAATTAAATTATTGTATAAAATAAAGGAAGAAAGAGAAAGAAAAGTAAAGAAAAAGAAGCCAAAAAAAAAATAAAACTCTGACTCACCAGGAAATGCATAAGAAAATACAAGGAAGCACGTAGCGATGATAAAAATATTAACAAAAATCTTCATGGTTGTTGGTTTTGTTGTTGTTCTTGGTAGTAGTAGTGTATTTTTCTCTTCACTTTATCGAGTATATTGGAGAACCAAAAAAAAAAAAGAGAAAAATAAGAAAAAAAAGCAAATGAAATTCTTTTGTTTGTTTTTTATTTTTCGAAAAGACGACGAATATGGGTGGTTTTTGTTTTTTCTTTCCTCGAGAGAAACCAAAAAAAAAAAGCAAACAACCTCTTCCTCGTCTAGCAAAAAGCTGTTTCAAGAACGGTGATTGAATTCGTACTGACGATGAGAATTACCGAGTAGAATCGTCGGTTGGGTTTTCTCGCGCACAGCTTTAACTCCCCACGAAACGAAACGAAACGAACCAACTACTACTACTACTACCACTGCTACAACACTAATATTCGTTAGAATGAAGGAATCAAGGTCACTCACTCGTTCGTTCGTCGTCGTTCACTCGCTCATTCTCCCCCCACCCCCACTAACCCACCACAACTCACTCCACCCCACTCATATAACTCGGTTAAAAACAACTTCACAGTCTTGTGGCGTAGAATGCAGTTTGTCCTTTGTCATCGTCGTTGTTGTTGTCGTCATCGTCACCACTATCATCGTCATCGTCATCGTCACCGTCGTTCTCTCGTCCTTTTAAAAATCACTTTTTTGTCTTTGACCGCGCTACGATCTTCGTCGCGATTCGCTACGCTCAGCCAATCACCTAGCCGCTGCTACACCGATCACGTGACTCACGCCAAGTCACGTGACTCCTTAGTTCGAGGCTACTTGGAGCGTAGTTCCCCGTTCATTTCGTTTACGTTCGTCCTTGCGAACGGTCGCTTCGGCAATAACCGGTTATTTTTATTTATGGGAATTATTCATTTTCATTTTTGTTTTTATTTAACCCTTTTTTGAATGCTATGAACACGCATATATATGCGTTTTGTGAAACTTATTAGCGTGATTTATAAAACACATTTAACGTGTTTTTGTCAATAATAATGTAAAATAATTGTAATGTCTTGGTTTTGAGTATATTTATTATTGTTTTTGAGTCTTTGTTATATAAAAATTATATTAATAAAGAAAAAACTTTGATTATTAGTTATAATTTATTTTATTAGAAAATTTAATGTTCTATTTTTGAAGTGAAAACTTCTTTAGAATGGGAGTGATCTGAAAAGTAAATAAACGCGGTCGGTAGGAAACGGAGCTATGTAACGAAGCTATGAAACGGCTGCTATACTAAATAATGAGAGAAAAAGAGACAAACATATAGGATTTAGCCTGCGAGAGAATGAGACGGAATATAGCTATACAGTTTTTCCTATTCTCGTTCTCCTCTTTATGCTATGCTTCGTAGTTATCGCTCCTGGTTGTATATGTGTGTGTTTGTGTGCGACTGCATACTACAAAGCGTGGACCCATATTATTTTGATACTCGGAATGTTTGTAGGTAGGAGCGATAGAAAGGTAGAAGAATAAACAGAGATAAGCAAGTAGGTATGCGATAAAAGTATAAGGTCCAAACCAACTGACGGTCCAAATAAAGAAAGAAGGTGCGTGGTCTGTTTTTTTTTTACCAAACGTGTCATTTCTTTTCTATTTAACCCCTTAACCTACAACTACGGGCATAGCCCGTGTACGATGATCGGGTCAAACGTAAATCCTAAGGTTATAGCCGGTAGTACGATGATCACAATATTTACGTTTTGCTCGATCAGTGTATTACTCAAGTCGTGCGAATGGCTCAAAGGCTGCGCGAACTTGTTTACGTTTTCGGCCCTAAATTCTCGAATATAAGTCGTAGGTTAAGGGATTAAAAATGTTTCTATTTTATTGAAAAATTAATATTAAATTATTTATTTCGCAAATATTATTATAATTAACAATTATGAAATATATAGAATAAAATAATTGTATTGTCTGCAATATTTTACCAAAAAAAAAAAATTGATTATCAGATACATGAGAGAAAAAGAATTATACAACATTGTAGAATATTTTTTTTTATAAATATTCAAAGACATGTTTTTTGATTATAATGTTTGCGTATTTAGGAAATTTATACTAATCTTTCAATAAAATAGAAAAGTTTTTAAAATACAAGAAACTGGACACGTGACACAAACAAATAAACCTTATTTACTTTATATTTCCAATAAAAATAAAATAATATAACTTATTTTACAAATATAGAAAAAAAAATATAGAAAATAAATTTAAAAAATTTTTTTTAATATTATAAAGTAAAACAACGGAAATGATAAATAGATTTTAAAATCGTTATAATTTAAAACCCGATGAAACGAAAAAAATACGACCACAATTGTTCCCTTCTTTTACAGCATCTACAGGTATTAGTTGCAACACAAAAAGAAATACTTGTGTGTGCTAACCCATTATAAAGATATCTCAAATTCATAGAAAGTGTGAAAAGTGTAAAAGAAAAAATTCATCTACCTGAGTTTCAAAAAAAGAAATATATTATATTTACTTAGGTTAGGATAGGATATCCTTCCACCGATAAACATTCTACCATTTTTGTTTCTATCTACATCTATCGCATTCGGCATTCCATCTTGATAGATAGAATTTTGAAAATGTTAGTTTTTGTCATCTATTCCACCCAGAGACCATACCGGTGATCTTTATTATATATGGTAATAATATTATAATAAATAAATCCTACAATTATGTTACTCTTAAAACTGTGCATTCGTCTGATTTTCTCGAAACTTAGATCTTTGAAGGTTTCACTTCTAACACGTGTGATCTGCACACATGATTTTTTTTTATTATTTATATAATAATAGAATATTTAATTTGCAGAAGAATAGAATATTAGTAGATTTATGTCTATTTTTATTATTATTAAATATATTTTTCTATTATAAATAATTTCTTATTAGAATATTTATTATTCTATTTTTTATTATTTATATAAAAATACAATGTTACTATATTTATATTTATTTTTATTATAATTAAATATATTTTATTATTATATATAATTTCTTGTTAGAATATTTATTATTTTATTTTTTATTATTTATATAAAAAAATCGAATATTAATATATTTATATCTATTTTTATGATTATTAAATGTAATTTATTATTAGAATATTTATTATTTTATTTTTTATTATTTATATAAACATAGAATATTAGATTTATAGAAACATAGCATATTAATAGATTTATATCTATTTTTATTATTATTAAATATATTTTTCTATTATAAATAATTTCTTATTAGAATTTAATTCATAATATCAATTAACGGATACAAACACATTTATAATTTTTATAAATTTAATTAATATAAATGTAAAAAGTATTTAGCATTGAAAGAAGGTTAACATATTAATTTGTTTGTTAAATTCCGTATATAGGGTGTTCAAAAAAATTCTTCGTGACTAAACTTTTATTATTATTTAGGTCAAATAAATGAAAATCGTTTGTATATAAATTTATATTCCTAAAATGTTTTATCATTAATCGTTAGAATTATGAAATAAAATGAATGATTAGAACAACGGATATTTTTGATTTATTTTTTTTTTTTTTATTCTTTATATATCTGGTTGCATGCAGACAAAACATATCAAACGATCTTTATACTAGTTTCTCCTTTATTTGGAATGAAAAATACAGAAACACGGCCTACTATGGGTTTTTCCTTTTTTTTTTGTTCTCGACAAGTTCTCACGTGACATCGTTTATTTCAAAGATAAACAAATCATAAAAAGGTACACTCATTGTCAGTTCAATACTTATCGTACGATGCGTCAGAAATTCCGAGAAATAGAATCAGATAAAGAAATAAAGAAGAAAGGAATAATTTGCTTTTTTTTTTTTCCTCTTTTATTTTATATAATTTCAATGGAAAAAAAAATATCTACGTTTTCAAAGATATTTATGAATTATTGTAACAATTGTAAAAAATATTCGAATAGTTCGTAAAATGCAGGAATAATTCCATTAGTTGAACTTTTTCGAATATTTTGATTGTATTGAAAATAATATAGGGTGTTCCTAATGTATGGATAAGTAGAAGATTAATATTAATTAATTATTTAAATAAATAATTTTCTTCGACAAAACCATAAGTAATTATTTAATTAATATTAATACGGTTTTGTTGAGAGTAGAAAAAATTTGTTCAAAGACATATTTGTAAAGGAAAAAATAAAATACAAATGAAATATTTTAAATAAATACAATACATATATTTTTTTTTCTCGTACGTATATAAACTTTACGGACACCCTATAGTAAATGTATTTCAAGTAAATTCTCAAAGTTCGTCATATATTTTTATTATTTTTATTTTGTTTATTTTTAATAAAAAGCAACTAATTAACATTTTTTGCAGATATAACAATAAATTATTATTGTTCGTAATATAAATTTTTAATGAGAAAAATTACGTATTATAGAGAAAAGTATGTATTTTATGAAATAATTAGCAAATTATTACATACTGTTAAATATTAATATTAAAATAATTAATAAATTCTCAAACACTAATGAAATTTTCTGTCAAAAGTGTAGTTGGTGAATTTTGTCTGATCATAGATGATATTTTGTTTAAATTTTTAAACGTTTTCTGATTTTCATTTATTTAACATTTACCATGCTTATAACATGTTTTTTTTTGTTTTCACATTTAATTGTACATTTGGGTCGATTATTTTGAAAATAGTCTAACATCATTCGTCAATTATTATTTTCCGGTTGCACTTGGTTATTGTACAACTTCATGTTATGTATCAATAAAGCATTTGTGGTAGCTTAAATTTTGAGTAAATATGATAATACTTTATTGTAAATAAAATGAGACAAGAAGATTTTGTATAAACAAAATTATTAGACGACGCAATTTTTAAAAGGGTAAAGAATTCTGATGAAGAATCAATCAACTGATTAAAAATATTTTGGATGCGTTTTGTCAAAAATGAACCGTATCAAATTTTCTACAAGACATCAATGCATGAGAATGAAAATTTGAAAGACCTGAATTCATTACCACATCGGGATAGACCAATAAAGTTCGA